ACAGTAGGTTACGTACACAGTTAGCATGGGTAGCCTTGGTCCATACAGTAGGTTACGTACACAGTTAGCATGGCTAGCCTTGGTTCATACTGCAGGAGCAAGCAGGCCCTCTCCTGCAGTCCTGAAGGCCCTTGCTTTGTTCTTCTCCTCATTTCAGCACCCAGTCTGCCGGATCCATCTGCCGCCTCCTTCTCGCCTCCGTTAGTCACTCGCCGGACTGGAGGCTCACACCCACTTACCCTCTGCGACATCTGGTGGGATTACGAGCCCAAGGTCGCTGCCTGACCCGGCCCGGCCCGGCCTGGCCCCGAGCCGGCATCTGCACGTCTTAAACATGGATCTGGGATGGGAGCTTTCCAGGAGAAATGGACTTCATCCAAAATACAGGGGGTCTCCAGAGCCATAGAGTATTTGGCTGCCCCCCAGAGGGGAGGCTGATAACCTATAATAATAATAATAATAGTAATAATAATACATTATTATTGGCAGTAGTAATACTTGTAGCAGTACTTAACATTGGCATTGGAGTAGTATCACAAAGTGAATATTGTGACCCTCATTAACAGGGAACGCCGGGATACCTTTCACCCCGGGTGCTTTTTACAGCTGTTGAATTTTATTAAGGTGTCGGAACTGAACATCCCCCCCCCCCCGAAAACCGACCTTCGGCGCCGCAGAAGCTCCCCCCGCCCAGCCATGCCTGAGGTGCTGCTCCCTGTTCTATCTCAAAAAGCGTGCCCTGCTTTCTCATTGTTGGTCTCGGATCATTGGGGAATGCAGCGAAGCGCACTCTCCCGAGCCCCGTTAATTTACACGTTTACCGTGGCGGGTGTAATTGTGGGGTGATTTAAAATACAGACACGGGAAGGATAACCGTGTACTTCGTTATATTGTGAAGTAAGCTGCAAAGTGCTGTAGTAACAATAATACATTTTTTTTATGTCAAGTGCGAAGTGGGTGTTTGATACTGAGGATTAGAGTCCGGTATAAAGGCAATTCAATAGCGGTACTTTGCCTTCTGGTTGTGGATCAGCGTGGGGGGGGCAAGGGGAGGTTTTCCCATAAATGGTCCAAAATGCGACACTTATACTCAGAGAAGCCCCGTCGTGTATGTATATGTGCCTATGTGTCTCGTTCCCTTCTTTCTTAAAAACGACAAATAAAATGTGTGACAAATGCAGCTGAACGCGATTAAATTAGACAAAAGTCCGCCCTCAAATTGCCTGTGAACAAACAGCATGCATTTGAGTCGGTGCTCAGTCCTTCGTCTGAGACTGAGCCCAACTGAGTGTTTCGTTGTTGCATTTTGTCAGTAGCCAAGTTGAAGTTATTAAGCGTGATTTTAATCTGCTGAGTTATAGCGCCACCTGACGGTGAAGATGCAGTAGCATATTTCGGAAAATAGCGTTTAGAATTAGATGAATATGGAGAGGAAACAGATAATAAAGAAATTAGATTAATGGAAATGTCATTTTATAATATATCATTATATGCATTATATTTGCACTATGTATGTATTGTGTAACTGTTTGTGCGGTTTGAGATTGAACCTATGACGGCCAGGCATATAATGAATTAACATATTGTCATATACGTAGGCCTACTAGTACAAATGTACACGTGCTGAAGTATAGATTGTATAAACCGTTTTTGATAAAATACAGCCATGTAAATCAGATGGAGGAAGATGAAGAATGAGGAAAGAAAAAGGCAGTGAATGCTGTTTTACTGTGTTTTTTTCTTCTTTTTTTTGTAAAATGACAGCTTCTAAAGTGGTAGGTGATGCTTCCAGAATGGGCTGTTCATCATCCTGCCTGAATGAAATTTTCTTTATGGTAAGGCAGGGCTTTCTGTTCACTCTAGCTCAGGATAGTCCGTGGTATGCTACATTACTTTGGATTCACTCCATCTGTATGGATCATGAGTCAGATTACTGCGGGAGTTCAGGGTAGCGCAGGATTCTTTAGCCAGACTCCTCCTGGGCATTGAACCCAAAGCCTTCTGGATGTCCCCGTTTTAAATGTGAGGTACCAGGGGTTTAGAACCTTATGCTGGGGCGATGTGTCTTCCTTTGGATGTCGGGGATGTCAATAAGCAGGGGTGGGGGTGGGGGGTGGTATCCTCCATCAGTCTGAGGGTGTAGAGGAGTCACAGACGCAGATGTCCGGACTCAGGTTTCTGCTGACCTTATTGGGGGGGGGGGGGGGGGGGGGGGCAGCCTCGCGG